AGCCTCTGCAAACTCCGAGGCGGGCGGGCCAGGGAGGGTCCCGGAAGGATTGCCTCCCGGTGCCTTCCCTGGCCTGTCCAAGGGTTAGCTTGCAGCTGCGGGGTGCCCGTGCAAGCCAAGGGAAGATATGGAGGCATGGCTTAATAGGCTAATGATGGAGGCATGGCTTAATAGGCTAATGAGCTATGCTGTCAGGGGTGTGGCCTAATATGCTAATATGTTTCTGCTGTTGGGTGTGGCCTATTATGCTAATGAGTTCCTGCTGGGATTTTTCTACAAAAAAAGCCCTGGCCAGAACTATGGCTTGCCCAAGGTCATCCAGCAGCTGCGAGTGGAGGAGTGGGGGAAATCAAACCCGGTTCTCCCAGATCAGAGTCCGCGCACTTAACCACGACACCAAACTGGCTCCCTATCACCTAGTGCTTGGTCCTTTTTAACTGGAGATGCCGGGGATTGAATCAGGGACCCTCTAAATGCCAAGCAGAGGCTCTTTTACTGAACCAAAGCTCCTCCTCACACCTGCAAGTACCCTGGGAAATGTCTTCCCTTGGGGTGCCTGATAGGATTGCCATCCGCCAGGTGGTCCGGAATAAACAAATGGACGTACAGCAAAGAGGGCTGTGCCTATCACAACACAGTCAGAAACCGTACCACTGTACCCCAAAAACACTTGGCACTTGATTCAAAACATTCTGATATGAACAGCGTAGCCTGCTTCGGCGGGGAGGGTGGGGTAAAAGTTGAAACAATAAATAAATTAATAAAAATAAATAGCCATTCGGGTCCATTCCAAAGACATCAATGTAAATAGTCCAATACAGCGCAACAAATCCCTCAAAGTTAATAAATGTCCACAAAACTAAGAGGAACCCCTGCATGCCACTGATTTTAATTGCATGTGGCTGGATTCCTTGCTGATAAGAATCTTGTTTATTAAGATACAGAATAAAGCTCAGGTTCAGAGGGAAAAGTTCAACCCAGCACAAATTCTCTCTCAAACCTGACTCCCCCCCACCCCCACCCTTCTGCCTCAGGCAGAATAAAAGCAAATGTGAAGCAACTTTAGCTAAATTGGCTTTTCCATGGACGGAAGCAGAGGCATTCACAAGGTGCTGCTGGACTCTTCCTCATTTTTGCTTCAGCAGATCACAGACACAGAGGCCTCCATTTCTTCAGGGCCATCCACATAAACCGAGCAGGGCTGTTTCACCTCAGATTGCGGGGGGGGGGGGGGTGAAGAACCAAAGCCTGCTTACCTGTAAGTGCGGTTCTTCGGGAAGATACCTCAAGTACACACAGCGACTTGGGATGCCACGCACACCACTAGCTGATGCCCGATCACTTTTTCATGGGTTAGGGGGGGCTTGCCAACCCCATCTGAAGGGGACTCTGCATAGGAAAGCCATGCAGGCGGCTGCGGCCTCTGCGATGATCCCAAGCGGCAGTTCAGGTTTCAAGCTGTCCTTGCTCTAGGCATAGTCTGTATTCGTCTGTATTCCGGGACCTAAGTGTTCCAAAAAAGAAGACTGTGATCATTTATCTAGAATATGTCACCTCAGAATATATTTTTGAGCTTTAGAACATGCCATAAGTGGACTTCAAAATAAGATAAGGGAACAGCACAGATCATAAGACTATTGCTTGATTCAGATGTAATGCCAAACTGTGGTTTAGCACAACATGAGCAAGTCTCTAACTCCTACACCCTGCCTCCCCTTGTATTCTGCGATGGCCTCCCTGCTCTTCCTGATGTAGGGTAACCCACAGTTTGGTGCTGTACTGAAACTAGCAAACTGTGGTTTGCACTGCCCCCCCTGCAACATGGAACTGAAAATTATGATCAGCCTCTTGGCGAGAGATGGTGCATTTGGGAATTTACCCACAACATGAGGTACAACTACCCAGTTAGGCTTTATTTGACTTTACATTTATCTCTGACTGGTTAATACAATGGCTATCAGCCTTTACCTTCAGCCTTTCAAGGGATCTGTGTACCTTCTTGGGTGTCAAACAGATTAAAGGAAGAAGGCATTTCAATGGAGAAACACCCATCTTTTTCCCTCTCATATCCAGAGGAATGATATCACAACCTACACCAAAGCACCAAAGTGTATCTACCTGCCCTGGCACTGAGCACAGAGATGGCATAAACAAGACTTTTACAAGCATGACCTGGAATATCTCCCCCCCCCCCCCCCCCCCCCGCTCTCATTTTAAGAGTGATTAACACATGGAATTCACTGCCACAGGAATTCACTACAAGCTTGGACGGCTTCAAAAGGGAATTAGATAGGCATATGGAGCAGAGGTCCATCAGTGGCTATTAGCCACAAGGTATAGATAGGGGCTCTGGGGCAAGTGATGCTCTGTCTTCTTGGTGCTTGGGGGGGGGGGTCAACAGTGGGAGGGCTTCTAATGGCCTGGCCCCACTGCTGGACCTCCTGAGGGCACCTGGTATTTTTGGCCACTGTGTGACACAGAATGTTGGACTAGATGGGCCTTTGGCCTGATCCAACATTGGCGTCTCTTATGTTCTTATAACACCTAGTCTAAGGAAGAGTTCTGGTAGGAACTCAAAAGCTTGTTTACACTTTAGTATATTTGCAGTTGGTCCCAGTAAATGTATTATGTGGATTAGGGTTTGTGGGGACCGCTTGGACGTGTTATCTGTCTAACTGAGAACACAGGAAGATGTCAAATTTGTTCATAAAGAGAACTGAAAGTAACAACAGGCTGTTAGATAAAGATCTAGAGCAGGAAAATAGATCTAAAGGATGACTAGAAAGAAGAAGGATGGCAACAGGAAACACTTCACTCAGTCCAAGTGAATGTGTAACTTTGATCAGGGAGAGCCCCTTTTCCATACCTAAGTGTTAGGACACTCTGTATGGTGACTAGGGGTGCACATTATGTATATGCCGAGCTGAATAAATACCTTATCAGTATTATTCGGGTATTCATTCAGCCAAATACCAAATCAGAGCATCTATTCGGTAGCCGAATAGATATTCCTGAATACTAATAGGCTTTATTCAGCTATTATTCGGCTCTATTAAACTTTATGGGGCCATTATAGTCAATGCCAAATCTCTTAGGATATATTCAGCGGTCTGGGGGGAGGAAATTTGAGGTAGTGGCACTAAATCTCCCCAAAAGGACCCCCAAATTTCAAAAAGATTGGGCTGGGAGGTTCAATTCTATGGGCACCTAAAGAAGGTGTCCCCTTCCTCCATAGTTTCTAATGGGGGTGAAATAGCAAAGCAATACAGGCCCAGCAGAATGTCCCAAAGAATCTCTGCAGTAGAAAGTGAATTGTGTGTGAGGAGGTGCCCAGCAGCAGAACCCAGTGCTAATGTAGCAGCAACAGAACTAACCAAGTCACACCAGAGAATCCCAGCAGGGTTTTAAATTTTTTAGGCAGCAGAAGCCCAGCAGAACAACTCAAAAGTGCAGGGTGGGCAGGCACTTTTGCTAGCCCACCTGAACCAAGGCATGCCCAAATACACAGGAGCCCAGCAATGTTGAGCTGGCATTTGCCACAATGGAACTGGGTTCTACACTGCACTGGGTTCTACATTGCACTGGTTCTGCTGTCTTTGCAGAAATGCCCCCCCCCCACCCAGTTTCTACTTCAGAAATTCTGAGATTTGACCTGAGTCCTTTTGAGTTTTGGCACTGCCACAGTGGCACTGGTTCTACTGGGCACACTGCACTGGTTCTGCTGCTGGCCTTGCAAACAGGCCCTCCCCCCACACTACTTTCTACTGCAGAGATTCTCTGGGACATTCTGCTGGCCTTGCATTACCTTGCTATTTCGTCCCCATTGGAAACAATGGAGGATGGAGGCACCTTTTTGGCTGCCAATAGAATTGGGGCCCCTAGTCCGATCTTTTTGAAACTTAGGGGTTCTTTTGGGGAGAGGCTCCATCAGCTGTGCTGCAAATTTGGTGTCTCTACCTCAAAAACACAACCCCAAACCCCTGAAAATACCCCATGATAGATTTGCCATTGACTTTAATGGTCCCCATAGGATATAACGGAGTCAAATATATTCGGTATTCCTGAATATTTCTTGAATCCAAATAGAATACTAAATCTGGTATTCAGGAACATTGGTATATACCATAAGAACATAAGAGATGCCAATGTTGGATCAGACCAAAGGCCCATCCAGCCCAACAGTGCCATCAGGAGGTCCAGCAGTGGGGCCAGGACATTAGAAGCCCTCCCACTGTTGATCCCCCCCCCAAGCACCAAGATGACAGAGCATCACTTGCCCCGGAGTCCCTATCTATACCTTGTGGCTAATAGCCACTGATGGACCTCTGCTCCATATGCTTATCTAATTCAATATACCCAAATCCAAATATTATTGACATTTTTGGGGGGCACACCCCTAATGGTGACTACATTAGGAGTTATTCTCCCCCAAGCCACAGCTTGCCACCATGCCCCAAACCAACCGACTGGCACAGCCCACTACCTTGACGCCACAACATTTGTGTGCCGCAACATTTGCACCTCTCGGGCAAAATGGCACTGAAGGATCCCAAGGGGACTCTGGGATTCTACCTGACAATCTCGACTGTGTTTTCCCTTCATCAAGGAATACTGTCCAAGCGTGCATTGGAATGCTTGGATGGATTTTGTGGGAGACTGCTGCCTTTGGAACCTCACTCTACAGGGGTTTTGCATTTCTCACAAGAGCCTTCCCCATTAGGTCAAAAAACATTAAAGGAAAACAGGGACTGCGAGGAGGGGGGAGGAGGGGGAGAGAAGACAAGTTCCAGAGTTATGCTTTGGAATCCTTCCATTTCCTCTATTACAGCATAAATATTTAAATGGATACAGGAAAAACAATCAGCAGTACTTTAGTAGCAAGCCAGTTGGTACTCTGCCTTCTGGGATCTTCCATTACCGTTGAGTAAAGGAAAAGCTTTCCGGCACTGAGTGTTCTGAACACCCTCCTTAACGCAGACACCCAACAGCTTCCTGTAGGAGGATTCCCCAATTAAACAACCAAATCAATTTGTTTAGCTATAAAGAAGCATCTATTTTCTTGATCTTCACACGATTTCACCTTTGAGAAGGGTGTGGTTGTGATGGTGGGGCTGAACTCTTCTCCCTGGCCCTTGTTGCGGGGTTCCTGATTTTTGCCCTTTCAGGCCATTATTACACAAAAAAGTACCCACAGCTATTTGTCCATCCTGACCAGGATAGTCCTTGGCGACCACCAAGGAAGTCCAGGGTCACCATGAAGAGCCAGGCAATGGCAGACAACCTCTGAACATCTCTTGCCTTGGAAACCCGTAAATCGGATGTGACTGGACAGCACTTTCCACCGCCACCATTTGTCCAGAAGGAAAAACTTTAAAATGACACTAGGCTAATGCAACAGTGAAAAAGCCATGGAGGAGGAGGAAGAAGGTGCGAAAGGTCTGCCTTGACACGCTCCATAGGACCCAGCCCACTGTTTCCAGCTATTTAAGTTATTTCACTAACTAATCATTACTTTCTCTAATTCAACACTCACGAGTCTCTGTATCTTGGCACTCTGCTTGATACTTTAAAAAAGACACTTCAATCAAATTACCTGTAAGGGAGTTTATAATGGATTCAAACATAGCAAGTATTGTTTGATTTAACGGCTCCTGTGTTGTGCCTCTGTTAAGAGCTGACTAGATAGGGCCTCTGATTGCTGACATTATTTTTGCTGCCTCGTCTTCCCCTTTTAGTCTGGGACTGTTCCCACTTTCTGCTTATTAGGATATCCAAGACTATTTTCATCTGTATGTTACCGATGAAGTTTTTCAGAGAATAGTTACAAGGATGGGCACAGTAATAAGACCAATGAAAAAAGAAAAAAAGAACTGTGACAATTTAGTGCTTGGTACTATATTCATAAATCATAATATACAATAACAGAAAATAAGTAATATATATAGTGAATGTAGACTGTGGTCTCCGGAATGGTGTGCCGTTTCGACAATGATCTTCTTCTGAACAAGGATGTGTACATAAACTGTCTTTCAACAATTCATTTCTCTTGGTGACGTATTGAAAATATACTGTTGATTCACTTCATCATAAAGCTATGCTTACAGCTATGTTCTTCAATGGGCTATAATTGCTGAATGTCTTCACATTCACATCCTTGTTCAGAAGAAGATCATTGTCGAAACGGCACACCATTCCGGAGACCACCGTCACTATATATATTACTTATTTTCTGTTATTGTATATTATGGTTTATGAATATTTTACCAAGCGCTAAATTGTCACAGTTCTTTTTTCCTTGGTCTTATTACTGTGCCCATTCTTGTAACTATTCTCTGCAAGTGACCATAGAGACAGGAGCTTTGGCGCTCCAGACCATCCTCCTTATTTTTGTAGCTATACCGCTCCATCCCGGAGGCTCTGAACGGTTTACATGGGTATTTAAACTTCCTAGCTAGGGCCACACAATGTAGGGGAGGTGATTGCCTACCAGGCACCCCGCCGGCT